AATGCCAACAGTCTCTCCCTGGTCACCTGGAAAAGAAAGATAAGGTGGGGAGGCCATTCCCTAATTGACTGTGGGGAGCAGTTTCCAGGGCTGCTCAACAGCCTTGTTTATGAAAATAAACCTTGCCTATACTTCAAATCCATGGAGCAAACAAAGACAATAGTAAGTGACGTACCCGAGTTTGAAAATGCTTATAAATAGCAATGGATGCAAATTCACTCATGCAAATGCATGATAAGACAAACATTTATGGGTAATTCCACAGCATCCTGCTCTTTACACTTTTGACACAAGGAGACGAGAGAGAAGGGTGCCTCTCATACTGCCCAACATGCTTCACACAGTGCTGTGGCCAAACTTTCAAAGGACCACAAAGTATTTGGGCATTTGGCTTGGGACTGGTCTCATCTGAATGAAGCCCCTTACAAGGGGACATGTACTTCAGAGCCAATCACTGGAGAGCAACGGACACTTCTAGAACACTACTCATTCATTTTAGTCATGAATATTAGGACTGTGTATACCGAAAGACCATGTACACTATTTCTTACCCTTTGGACCAGGGAGGCCAATAGGTCCTGGGAATCCAAGTGTTCCTGTGATACCATCTGAACCCTGGAAAAAAAAAAAAAAATGAAACAAAATTAGACTTTGCTTTTTATTCTTGTTGTTCCAAGTTTGGGTCATGTGGGATAAGAGACCACAAAGATGTAGGAAGAAATATTATCTAAAGTGTCATTCAACAATATGAACCAAACAAAAACAATCTGGAAGTTTTGTAAGGAAAACTCCTGCCAGCTTCTGCTGCTTTGCCTCAGGAGTACCAATTAGAACACAGGATTCTCCTAAGAGCACTTAGAGAAGATGAAGATTATTCCTGGAAATCCTATGATACCATGCGTACCCTTCTGTCCTGGCAGCCCAGGTTGTCCAGGTGGACCAGGGAAGCCTGGGTCACCATGAAGACCTCTCTCTTTGCTTGCTAACCCAATCGCACCAGGGAGACCAGGCTGTCCACGGCTTCCTGGGATTCCTTTATCACCTGGGTTATACAATAGAGTGTCATTTCATTTTATAATACAGACATTCAGCCCATTTGGGCCAATTGACCTGTTATCCAAAGCTCCCCTTAAAGAGGAGGAAGGGATGGCATTAGCTCTGCAGAATAGAGCTTCAAAGGAAAATTGTTTTCTCAAAATTCAGAATTGCCATATGCAAATCTTGCTAGCACGTGAATGACAGAACAGAAAACAGTAATACTGCAGGCGCTGTCAAAAGGACAGACCAGACTCCACTGAGAATAAGCACAGTTACTGAACAACTGATACTGGCAACTAACTACGATGTTGTGAAATACCTCTAGGTCCAGGGAATCCTCCAAGCCCAGCTAATCCAGGATCTCCTTTGTCTCCTTTGAATTGCAGTGCCTGTTCTGGAGGCCCAAGAACAGGAAGACCAGGTGGACCTACATCACCTCTGTCGCCTGAAGAAACAAGAAGTCGGGAAATCTTCTTGCAAAATAATCTAACAGAGAAAGGGTATAACACTAGAAGCTGGCAGACAAAAAAAGAACGTCCATGTCTCCTGATGCAAATCCATCAGTAAGTGCTCAGCACCTTTGGCAACCAGGCCAAAGTATTTCACAAGGAAGAAAAGAACACAGTATTTAGGAGAAAACATTAAATACACAGACAACTAAGAAGGGCCTCCTAAGTCCCTCTGCTGCACAGCCAGCAAAAGCCTTTCAGCTGTTTCTTACCTTTTTGACCTTGGAGTCCCACAACTCCAGGGCTCCCTTTTCCTCCAGCTGTGCCAGGAGTTCCTTTAAACCCGTTCACCCCAGGGATACCAGGCATGCCTGGCATGCCAGGGAAACCAAGCAGGCCAGAAGACCCTTTCTCGCCTGTATAGAAAAGTTGAGAAATAGAAAGGGAAGATTAGTCTCTTCTGGTACACTGCATGCCCACCTAGCTGGCAGGTAGAGGCAGCATGGGTCTGGCCGATCACCCAAATCTGGGTAGTAAAGCTTCATGGTGCAAGCACAGCACGGCCACTTCTCTCATGGGTCTCCACTCATGATACTTTCAACCAGCAGTTTTCAGTTCACTCTGGAGACCCTGGTCCTGCTTCCACTGGAGAGCAAAACCCAATCAATTTCCAAGACAGCAACACGCAGTTACATAGTTCTATTGCTCTCCGCCTAAAATAACACAGAATTCTCCAAGTAACCAACTACTGTATTGGTGCTTAATGACCATACAGATGGAAATTTGTTCCCATTTGGTTTGTGCTTCATTCTTTCCCTTCTACAAATTTCATTCACTGTTCCTCATTTCTTTAATTTTCTTGTCTTTCTATCTTGATTTACATGATCCTTTGTCCATAAGGGCCCAAGTCCTTTAAGATGAATCTCCTTATGACCGTGACTTGATAATTAAATCCATCATTTGTAATTCATAACTCAGCAGCAAAACAAATGCATTCCAATACTAGTTGGGAATTCATTCTCTTCTGACAAGATGGGACTAAAATCAGTATTAACAATGTTATTTTTTTGTGGGCACAATAATCTCGGACTATTCCCCTAGTGGAATACATACCTTTTGGACCAGAGAAACCTGGACGTCCATCTTGACCAAAAGGCCCAGGCGGCCCTAAGAATCCTCTTTCACCAGGAGATCCTGGAGCACCATCAAGACCTGGGAAGCCTTTCATACCAGCAGGGCCTTGTGGACCTACATCCCCAGTCACGCCTTTGACTCCAGGAAGTCCTGAATCAATACAAGAAAGAACTCGATAGATTATGTCACACAAACACTAGGACAATTTGCAGACAGCTTCCCAAACTCTTTAAACACAGCATTGTTTTTAATATGACAAATGGACCTTATGGCACATGCAGCCTACTAGAAGGCATAAAGCTTAGAACTGCAAAAGCATTAGTCATCTAATAATAAAATACCTATGAAGAGGGTTACTGCCTACATCACTACACAAGTGGCAAGAGTGAAACCCCTTATGATGTATCCGTTTTTGTCTCCTTTACCAGACACTAAACTGTAGCACATCAGTCTTACCTTTATCATCAAGGCAGCCAAACCAGAATGGGGAGCATCATTAATGCCAGCTTCTGCTACCCACCCCATCCTCTGGGTGACCAGAGATCAACTGGGGAGGCTTGTTTTTACAAGTTTCTTTTCCACCTCGGTAGTTAAAGTGTTACTTCTCAAGCGCAAATTGCTCACTAAGGGAACAAGCTTCTGATCGTGCTGTCACACAAAACCAACATCATATGCACTGTTTTGCCTCTAAATGTTTCAGAATGTTTCTAGCTGAAGATTTGTAATGGTTTACAAATTTAAATAAAGGCTCAAACCATTGAAAACAGAATGCTCAGATCCAAAGAGGGGAAGAGAAGGAAAAATCAGGTGGCTTCTGAAAAATGGCATTTGCAGCAGTAGCACCCAATATACGAGCTTTGTTATACTCAGGGCTTAAACGTTTTAAGTTACAACCCAGTATTTTTTAAAGCAGAAGATGAAATGGCTGCTTTATTTAAGAAGACAAAGAAAACACACACACTTAAAATCTGTACATATTAAGGATTTCCTTATAGGCTTCAGGCTTTGTTAGTGTCTGAGCATTCTCACTACAACGGTTCTTTGCCTTCTGGTTTGATTAGCAATAATAAGGGGTATCACCTATAGTCAATGCAATTCTTGTAGCATTAAAAGCTAGGTTGTTAGTCCATGAGCTTTTATGCTACACTGCATTTTCTCACCTTGACAGCCTATGTGAAGAACCCATAACCAAACAGTGTGACATCAGAAATGGAGAGTTGATGATAAATGGAATAGAAACATGGTGAAGGAAAAAACAGACAAAATATGTAAACAGAAAGAACAAGGGTACAAAAGAAATTAATGATTCAGAGAGAATACAGCTGCAAAAAAACTTAATCATTTGGAGCTTATCATCCTAGCAATGGGAGGTTTTTAAAAACAGTTGAAGGAAAGTCATATATGGCATACAGTCCAAAAATGTAAAACAATAGAGAGGCAAAAACAATGTTAACATCAGAATAAAAAACCCTTTAAAACTCTATGATTTTCATCTCAAATGGTTACTGCTTTCATTCATTTGTTGTCACTGTACTCCAGCACTGTCATTCTGCATGTCAGAACAGACGAGTTATGTCACAGACCATTATCTACTAATTCCCAGGTCCCTCTTTGCTTGGTTCTCAAGTCTTGCATACAATGTTATCATGAAACACTTTAATCAGTGCAGCTTGAGAGAGACTGCTGTACTCAAGTGGCGGGGTTTTTTTTCCCCTTAAAGTCAAGGGAAATAAATTTCTCTTCTGCCCCAGCAAAGAGAAAGACAGACAAGACTTAAGTGCTTGTTCTGAGAAAGCGAACAATTTTTCAGTCTATCAAAGTCACATTTCAAGCAATCTCATACATTAGAAATTAATTGTCATGGAAATGGGAACTGAAGATTAGTCAGTGATACAACCAGCATGTAAAAGCAGAGATGTTAAAAATATCAAGACATTTAAGATGCTTTCTCCTGTCTTTCTGCTGTACTTCTTACAGCCTTGAGGCACCATTTCTAGGCAGGAGTCATCCAGCAGTCAGAGGCAAAAGGCTCAAATTCTGCATTCTGTTACCCCTAACCAAAGGTAGGAGTTCATTCCTAGCAAATGCTAAATCTCTCCCACACTTCCTCAACATTGCAGCGTTCAGCTTAGCTACTTGTCTTCATTTGAAGACATTACATACCTGGTGCTCCTGCAAGGCCAGCTGACCCCAAGGGTCCTGGTTTTCCCTTAATGCCAAAAGGACCTCCAGGACCAGGAGGTCCCCGCAATCCAGGGACACCCGAATATCCTGGATTACCCTGTTCTCCTTTAATACCGAGGAGGCCTGGTCTTCCATCTAACCCTGGAAACAGAGAGGTGGGAGGTTACAGAACAAATAAAAACAAAATTCACACTTTTAATTAAAAAACGAGTTTTAAGAAAAGCCTTTGAGTTGCATTAGATTCTAAGAGAAAACCAGCAAATAGCCACCTGTGAGCAGCTTAGAGGACTACTAACACGGTATCTTAAAGAGACTGGAATGGGGAAAGATTTTTGAAGAGAAACAGTTTGATATTCCCAGATACAAGCAGTATCAGTGCTTACCTTTTGGTCCTGGAAATCCAAGATCACCTGTAAGCCCCTTATCACCTGGGAGTCCAGGTCGGCCACGCTCTCCTAGTGCTCCACTCTCAGCACCAAATACATCTCCAGGAGCTCCTTTCGTTCCAGCTAAGCCCAAAGCACCCATTTTCCCAGGCAAACCGTCTGTTCCATCCAGTCCTGGAAGTCCTTGTGACCCTTGCTCTCCTCGAGGTCCAGGGAAGCCTTAAAGAGGAAAACAGTAAATGTCACTCAGCAGAAGTACAGAATATCTGCTTCCAATAGCATCTCTAACAAAAGCAACATTTTAAAAATTTCCATGCAAGAAAAAGTTGTTTGGAAAGTTTCAGAATGTTTCAGTACTGAATTAGAAACAATAATGGGTGACAGAAAGTGATGAAACTGTTTAAAACAGTTAGAATATCCTTTCATATTATTCTTTTTTTTTAAAGAAAAGAATACTTTAGGAGTATCTGGGAGCTGCAGCTAGTTGCAGCTTTACAAGCGTGGTTTCACTAGATGGCAGATTAGGCAAAAAGGACAAAAAAAGGAGGAAGATGGCCATTTCAGGCTACTGACAGGCAGTATCTCACTACCACTATCAACCACAAAAGCTGTAAAGATGTTATATTCATCACACATTTCTTACTCTGTCGTCTATGTCAGATGACAACTGGCACTGCAGGGCAGAAGACACTGGCAGCCTTGGTACAAGGAGGACTGGAAAGTACTCTCCCTGTACCAAGCAGACACTCAACTGCACTGCTGTATGGACGTTTCACACTGCTCAGGGGTTATGTCATGAAATCAGTGACCCCACAAAGAGGACATCCCCCCTCAATGTAGTGAAATGACAAGAGATTTCTTCAGCCATACCCACAGAAACCTGATGGATACACAGCAACCTAGCTTTAGGAATCTTCCCTCACCGCCTCTGCTTCTTGCTCTTTATTTACACAACCATCAGAAATTCCCACAGCTAAAATGAGTCCAAACTCTGCGTACAGTGTGCCTGTACCAGAGTACCGCATGGCTTAAAACAAGTTTTACACTAAACTGGTAGTTAACCTAAACTGTAACAAAGCACATGATGATGGTCTCTGGAGAAACAAATTGTGTTGGCTGTCATCTTTTCTTCCAGCAGTGATATAGTATTATAGGCAGGTAACAAGTATGTTGAACATTTCTTTTGTTTTCTTCCAAGCTGCAACCATTTTCTTGCAGAGATTGCATTTGGAAGGGGCACAATAGAGCTCTCAGCAGAGCATTATGAAGGTACCAGGCAGAAAAGTGGCCTAGAAGGTTGGACAACTCTTTTGATAAAATATTGTACACATTAATCAGACAATAAAAACAACTCCAGTAACTTCGCTCTTACCAGGTTCCCCTTGCAAGCCTATTATTCCTGGAGACCCTGGCTGTCCTTTTGACCCGTGCAATCCAGGTTGGCCTGGAATGCCAGGAAAGCCTTTGCTGCCTTTGGGACCTAAGGGTAAAAATATATTAATAAATAATATTAATGAATGAATAGTGGAAGACAAAAACACAGCAAAAGAAAACAGGATCAGATCTTTCCTGCAAAGCTAGTGCTGAAAACACTCACTGGATACACAGTTTAAGCTAAATAAAGTCTCAAAGCTATGGCTATTTCATCAGCTACATAAACACAGAAGGAGGAGGTTTGTGTTCAGAGGCTACGTAAAACGGAAAAAATGGTGGAGTCATTATGATCCTCCATAGGATTTAAGCCTAGTCTCTTTGGGGGGAAAAAAAAAAAAAAAAAAAAAAAAAAAAAAATTTTTTTGCCGTTTACTTTTTTGAAAAAATCTCCTTTTGAGGAGAATTAATTTGGAGG